AACCACGACACACACATCCCACCGGGACCCGCAATTCTAAAGCCAGAGGGAGAAACTGCGTTTGGCGACCTGTGTGACAGCACAGAGGGTCTTGAAGTGGAACGTTTATAGAAGAAGCCATCATCCTTGTAGGAGATTCAGATCTTCCTGAGTAAGACTGCCACCTGCTGAATGCAGGGAGTCCCGGGAATTCCTGGGGCCCTGAGGATCAGATAAAGGCTCCACAAGGTAATTACCATCTGCCAGAGTTTCAAGGGGTGCATGAACCACTCCCTTCCACCCCACCACTTCACAGGTAAGTCCAAAGCTAGGAATCTCCAAGAGCAAGCTCCCTGCTAGCATCTGCTCATCGTTTCTCAACCAGCCAAGCTCTTCCTGTGTGCTTGCTCACTGAGTCCTCAAAGGCATCTGCCGGCCACCACGAGTGCCAGCCCCACTCCTCAGCCTCCTCTCACTGGGGCCTGCCTCTCTTCAAAGAAGGAGACACTCTGGCCCAGGTCACTGGGCCCACATGCATGGTGTGTGCTGGGACCATGGACCCCAGGGGTGGAGAGTCTGGCAGGTTCTGGGTTGCATGGCCCAGGGCCTTGGGCTTGCCTCTGCAGTGGGTATAGCATCCATGAGACCCGGGGGTACAGAGGGGCTTGGGTCTCTTGGCCCAGGTCCTAGGGCCCACCTGCATGATGGGTATCGGGTTCATGAGCCCCAGGAATGGGCACTCTGGACCAAGCATGGTCCAGGGCCATTTGCCCGCCTGTGAGGTGGTTGCTAGGGACTGTGAGCCCTATAGGTGGGGGGTTCTCTGGGGCCTGGGTCGCCTGGCCCAGGTCCATGAATCCACCTATGAGAATTGGTCCGCTTCAGTGTAGAGGATGGAGTGTTGGATGGCAGACCATGGTGCACATGGAGAACATGGTAGCTCACTGCGGCCTGCAGAGGACATCTAATACCATAGTAGAGAATGGAGAATAGAACATATGGACAACTATCCCAGCCAAATGATGACAGCAAATACCTGGGTGATTGGAGACTATTAGGTTAACGGTGTCAGCCAATGAACATTGGAAGGGATTCCTCATCCACAGATTGGCGAGATCAGCATTTCAAAACTATTGCATCCACTTGGGCAGAACCTTCAGAACATGTGCCATTGTGATCCTGGGTTGATATTAGGTGACTCTTCCCCCTTCTTGGTTACTGGGATAGTTGGGAGGCTGGGTATGGCCTATCCCCTTATTTCCCCCTAGAAATGGGAAGAAGAAATAGGAAGTTTGAAAACGATGGTCATACCCACTTCTCCCTAACCTTAGATCCTTTCCACCCTGATCAACTATGTAAACAGTATCTAAAATAATAATTTAAAAAACAAAACAAAACAAAAAATGGAGACTCAAGGTCCTCCAGAGACCACTCTCAGCCCAAGGTCACAGCAGAGAGAAGGGCAGATGGGGCTGTATCCCGGGGCCTTACACTAATTCATAGTCCTCCACTGCACCACACTGCACCACACACACCCTGTGCCCACTTCCTGCAGCAGCTCAGCAACCATAAAACACACATATATTGGTGTGTTACTGCTACTTACCCACCTGCAAGTACCAGCCCTGGCCCTGTCCCCTCCGCCTTCCCCTTCCTCCCCCCATGCTATCCTGTTCTGCACTCCGCAATGGGACAAGGATCCTGCCTCCACAGGAGACGCTGGCCAGGCCGCTGCAGTGGGAGCTGTCAGCCCTGACAGCTGTGACTCAGACCTCGGTCAGCAAACAGGGCCCAGAGACATGAGGACTGCAGGCCGGCGGAGAGGACAGTCAGCGGTCATAGCAAGCAGCCCCCAGCCCCCTCCATGTCTGTCCTACCTCAGCCATCTGCTGCCTGGACTGGGTGGACTGCAGGGCCCGCCGCCTTCCCTGCTCTGCCTTGGCCAATCACACCCCTGACTCCCCTGGGATTTCCTCCCAGAGGGGAATCAGAACCTTGGTGTTTGCACATGGCTGTTTCTTTGCAGTTAATTCCACGGTGAGATACTTGATTCATTCTATTTTATTTGGAAAAGCAGAGAGAGAAAGAGAGAGAATCTTTCATCTGCTGGTTCAGTTCCCAAATGGCTGCAATGGCCAGAGCTGAGCTGATCCAGACCTAGGAGCTTCTGAGTCTCCCATGCATATTCAGGGTTCCAAGGTTCTAGATCACCCTCTGCTGCTTTCCCAGACTCTAACTAGAGAACTAGATTGGAAGTGGAGCAGCTGAGACATAACTGGCACTCATATGGGATCCTGGTGTCTATAATCAGAGGAGTAACCAATTAAGCCATTGTACCCAGCCCCAGGATACGTGATTCGAAACAGCCAAGAGGCGTGAGGCAGGAATCTGTTATTTTCTCTGGCCCAGGGAAAGCTCTGGGGCAGCAGAGAGCTGCCGTAAGAAAAAAGGAGGAAAAAAACTTTCTGGTTTTTAAAAACTGATTCATTCGTTTTTATTTTAGAGACAGATTTGAAGAGAGAAAAGGAGAGACAAAAAGAGAGGTCTTTCATCCACTGTTTCACTTTCCAGATGGTTGCTAGCCCAGTCTGAAGCCAGGAGCCAGCAGTTTTATCTGGGTCTCCCAAGAGGGTGCAGGATCCCAAGGCATTAGGTCATCCTCTACTGCTTTCCCAGGCCACAAGCAGGGAGCTGGATGGGAAATGGAGCAGCCAGGACTTGAATCAGTCCATATGAGATGTTGCTCCACTAGGCAGGCATGATCACTATTTTGCTGATTGAGACGTCAAGGCCTGGAAAGATCTAATTCCCCCCCGGGGATGGACACAGCTTGGGGTGCCCATGGCTTGGGGTGTCCACATCCCACATTAGAGTTCCTGAGGTCAAGTGTCCACTCTGTTTCCAATCCCAGCTCCCTGCTCCTCTGCACCCCGGGAAGCAGCAGCTGACAGTGGCTCAGGTACTTGGGTGTGTACCTCCCAGCTGGTTGGAGACTGGGTTCCTAGCCTTGACCTGGCCTGGCCCCAGCTTCACAGACACTTAGAGAGCGAGCAATGGCAAGACGATCTTTGTCCACCTCTGCCTCTCAGTCTTTTAAATAAAACGAACATAAAAAAAATAAGAAAGATTTTAAAATATGAAGGTCATAGGTCATGTTTGTATTTATGCAAAAGTTTTGATTACCTACCTGCCTAAGGTTATAGATAATTAAGGACCAGGTGATTAGCGAATCCTAAGGAGCCCAAAAATTCCTGCACTTTTGGGAGAAGGTAGGGTGGCCCCTCTTGGCTCCCCTCCCCAAGAATGGCCACTCCAAACACAGAAGCAGCCTGTCTGTTGCAGCCTGGCACACGTGGAGGCCCTGATGTGATTCACCCACCTCAGGCTGCCCCAGCACCTTGAGGCTGACTTGTCCAGACAGGGGAAGTTGGATGGGCCCTCAGAGGATGGGAAGAGGAGGTCCCTGGGGAATCAGGAAGGAGTGCTGAGCTGGGAAGGAGTGAGCGGGAGCCTGCAGGTGCCGCAGCCTGGAGCGGGGAGGGGACCAGGCCCCCACAACCACAAACCCTCCCAGCTGTGCTTGTCCTACTTCTGCCCCAGGCAAACATCTCTATTCCTGGACACCTGGGCAGGCTCAGGCCAGGATGGAGAGGTGGGAGGCATCCAGCATCCAGCCCCTGTCCTCCAGGGCTAAGGTAAAGCCAGACACCGTCATCACTCCTCCACTGCCTCCACACATCCCCACTACATCTTCCCACCCACAAGGGAGCCAGAGGGGGTTTTAAGCCTCTCTGCACCCACCCCAGGAACCTAGCCCCTTCCCACAGACTGGCCCAGACCGGGTGCTGGGTTTCTATAGGAGAGCAGAGCCCTATCGGGGGAGCAGGACTGGATTGAGGGGGATGTAGAGGAAGGTGGGGAGTGAAGGAGCACCTCCACTCTTCTGTCCCGGCGTCTGAGGGAGGCTTGGTCCCTCGGGGCGTGCACAGCTAAGCCTCTGGTGTGCCGAAGCTCTGGCAAGGACACTGTGGGAAGCCGCACCCCCATCCTGCTTCCTGGCATTGGCCCCCACACCTGAAGTCATCTTCATGCTGCTTCTGGCAACCCAGGTGCCCCTGACGTTTGGAAGAAAACCTCCATCACGGCGGAAAGGAATCTAATCAATGCTTCCTTCACCAGCACCGCCCCCCACGCCCATCTTCCAACCTTCCCTCCCGGGAAGTTCTAACTTAGAGCTCACGCTCTGGCTTTCCTGCTGCAGCCTCAGCTACAGACCATCTGTATTCCTTACAAACCTCACTCAGGCTTGAATGTGATCTTTCGAGCCCGGCCTCAGTCTCGTCACGCCCCCGCCACCCCCCCCCCCTCCCCCCTAAACCAGGGTGCTCGCGGTGAAACCGGCCCCTCCGCTTTGTCTCGCTCCAAGCCCCGCCCCATCTTGGCGAGCCCCCCGAAACTCCGCCCCGCTCGCCCTCCCGGCCCCCGCAGCAGCCAATAGCCATGGGCCTCCGGTAACCGAGCGGCGCGGGGGAGCGGCGGAGGCCGGGGGGAGGGACCAGCCGACCTCCTAAATCAAAGTTAGGAGGCGAGGACTGGGCGGAGGGGCCGCCGGGTGCGGGGCTGGGGCCGGCGCGGGGCGGGGGAGGGCATGGGGGGCGGGCGCAGAGGACCGCGGAGCCGGCCGGCCGCGGGCAGCTCCGGGGCTCCCTCCCTCGGCTCATCCCCGCGTCCCCGCGTCCCTCCTCCCCGCGCGGCCAGCTGCATCCTCTGCAGACCCTCGGAACCCACGCCCGGGCTCGTCCGGCTCCCGCGGCTCAGTGCCAACCCCGCAACTTTCTCCTCCTGCGCCCGGCGGCGGGGGTCTGCCTGGCCCCGGAGGGTTTCTCCCGGGGCTCCTGGGGGGCAGTGTCTGGAGAAAGGCTCCCCAGCCCAGCGGGGACGCCCGTCGCCCGCTGGCCGGCCCGGGCCCTGGCGGGTCTGCCGTCGGGTGTCGGCGCCCTCCCTCGGCCTCGCCCCCCACCATGACCGAAATGAGCGAGAAGGAGAACGAGCCGGATGACGCGGCCACCCACACCCCCCCAGGGACCGTCCCTGCCCTCCAAGAAACCAAGGTAAGTCGGGGGTCTGAAGCCTGGCTATGGACGCTTGAAGGGGGGCGTCTCCGGCCCGAGCGCCTGTCCTCCTGCTCTTGGGGCCACAGTGGCCTCGAGCGTCTGGGGTCGCGGGAGCGGGTCCCTTGGGACCCCCACGGCCGGGCGCCGCGCACCCTGCGGTAGCAAATGACCACGGAGCCCTTAGGGCAGATGCTCCTGCAGCGCGGAGAGCGGACGCGCGGCCACCACCCGCGGAGAGGGTTGTAAGACGGCTTTGTTAGAGGGAAGCAGCGCAGCGCGGGTGCTGCGGGCCAGTGTCTATCCCGGTGTGCGTGCGGACGCGCCCCGCGCCCCGCGCCCTCAGGCGTCTCCACCGCGCGTCTGCTGGGTCTGGGCGTCGCTGTGCGCTTCGCGCTCTCGCTTCGCCTGTCGCTCGGTGTCTGCGTGTCCCTCTCGGACCCGCTGCAACGCTGCATTCCCCACACGCCTCCCAACGCGGTCGGGCCCGGGGACGTGCGCTGGTGGCCGGGGGGGTGCACAGCTTGGGAGTCGGCGCTGGGGCTGCGGCAGCGCGGGCCGTCGGGCGCGGGTGGGGACCCGGGTGCCGCTGCGGGTTGGGCAGGCGACAGGCAACCCCACCCCCACCCCGGAGCGGGACGAGATGGGGGGAGAGATGGGGGTGGGGTTGGGGAGAGCCAAGGAAGAAGTCGTCGTAATTAATGAATGTCATAATTATCCCTAATTATGTATGATTGTTACTCCAGCGTCACAGGGAATAAATTACTCCCTGGTGAAAGCAGGCGGAGCCCAGCTCCAGCCTCCACCGCTGCTCACATTCAACCACGGCCCAATCTGTCTGTTCCCTGCCCAAGTTCTAGGTGCTGGAGCCTGACCCGCAGGAAGTTGTGCCGGGAACCAGCTGAGCGGGTCTGCGGGTGGGGAGAAGGGGAGCACTCCGCGTCCCCTCCCCTATCTTCAGGCCGGAGGCTGCTCCCTGCTCCCCTGCACCAGGGCGTGTTGTTGGGGGGCCTGATGCTGCTACACGGATCTGGGGTGGAGGTGTTAGGACCAGGGTGATGGGGCCTTGAGATTTCCAGGAACCCCTGGCTCTTATGTAGCACTCCCCCCTGGCCTTCTCCTTATTCCCCCATCTTGACCACCCCTCAGGCTATGAGATTCATTCAAGGTCAAGGTCATTAAGAGGGTAGCTGGGTAAGGCAGGAGTGGAGTCTGGCTGAGGCATCTCTGGAAGCTCCGTGGGTCTCCAGATGCACCCTTGACCTTCTCCTGCCCCCTCCTGTAAATGAGATTCTGAAGGCTCAGACTCTGGAGTTCGCCCTCTCCAGGCTTTTGTGGGATGGGAAGGAGAGGAAAAGGTTGCCTGGAGCATCTGTGACAGCTGAGGCAGAGGGTCCCACCCTGAGCCAGCGCCCAACCTCCTGCGCCCCTTCCCATGCTTCCTTCCCAGGAGCCCCGGGCCTCACCCTGTGAGGTACGTGGGTACCAGGTCCCTGGGCAGCAGCACTGAGCAGGGCAAACCGGAGCTGGCTCAGCAGTGAAGCATGCTGCAAGCTGAGCTGGTGGGCTGGGGAGGCCACCGCCTGGCCAGCCGGCTTCTCCTTCCTTCTCCCTCCTCCCAGGCCAAGGATCTGCCAATGTCACTGGGGGGACCATGGCTAGACGAGGAGCTGTGGAGGAGACAGCCTGCACACCTGGCCCGGCCCCTGTGCCCTGCCTGGGTGAAGGGCTCAGGGTAGAGTGGCAGGAGAGAGAACCCAGGGCTCAGGGACAGCCTCCTCCACCACCCCTCCCCACCTCAACCTGGCCAGGCCAGGGAACTGGGGGCGCTGCAGGAGAGACCTGACATGCCTGTGGGCAGCGAGGCTGACAATCCAGGGCTCCTCAGCAGTGCTTGGTGTCTCCAGGATAACTAACTAACTAACTAACTAACTAACTAACTAACTAACTAACTTCCTCTGAAGCCAAGAGTTTCTTCAGGTCTCCCACACAGGTACAGGGACCCAAACACTTGAACAATCCTCTGCTTTCCCAGAGATATTAGCAGGAAGCTGAATCAGAAGTAGAGCTGCCAAGACTCAAACCAGCTCCTACATAGAATGCTGGTGTCACAGCAACTTTACTTGCTACACCACAGCACTGGCCTGAACCCCCTGGGCATTTCTTGGCAGCCCCGCTTTCTCCAAGGCTGGGCTTAGCCTGTACCCACATTTATGCTTGACCCTCCATCCCTGGATCCCTACCCCATTCTACCAATGGTACCTGCTCATCACCCACTTTGGTGCTACCCCAAGAGAACCCCACCACATCATCTGAATCAGCTGGTGCCGCCACCGACTACCAACTGCCCTAGTAGCTTTTTGTCCTAAGAGGCAACGGGGCTACAGGCTAGCTTGCCAAGGTCCATGGCCTCTTCCAGCCCTGTTCAGGACTGGACCCTGGGGGTGGGCCAGTGACAAAGATGACTGGTAGGGAGAGGAAGAAAGAGCCTCTTCAGGAACCAGGAGCCCTTGAGTAGGCATGACAGGACTGGCCAAGCCAACAATGGGGTTTGATAGTCAGGCCAGAGACAGGATATTGGGCACAGTGCCCCAGTCCTGCCAGCTCCAAGGTATGATGTATCATTCCATCTACCTTATCTGTCCTCCTGGAACAAGGAGCCAGGGCATTGTGGTGGCAGTCAGGACCAGAGCCAGGGAACGTTCCAATCCTGAAGTCTGTGCAGGCGGCTTTGGCTCTGAGCCTAGGGCAGACCCAGGAACCCAAAGGCTGCTGAGTTCAGAGCTGGGCCATCTTGTCCTCCTGGGATGACCAGGGAAATGGGAGCCTAGCACGTGACTGAGGTCTTGGGGTGTAAAGAAGCTTGAGGCAGAGGCAAGGGGTGGGAGCAGGTTTCAGTCCTGTCTGGAGAAACACTTGCCATCTGCCATGATGGCTCAGATGGAATGGCTGTCCCATGGGAAGGTTGCTTCCGCTGGTGAGAGGGGCTGCTCAGGAGGTATGTGACCAGGGCAAGAGAGCATCCCAAGTGGGCACTGGTTCACATCCTGGCTGCTCTACTTCCCATCCAGCTCCCTGCTGATGTGCTTGGAAGGGTAGCAGGAGATGGCTCCAGTGCTTGGGTCCCTGCCCAGACTCCTGGGTTCAACCAGGCTCAGCTCTGGTTATTTTGGCCATTCGGGGAAGTGAACCAGAGAATAGAAGAGCTCTCCCTCTCCTCTCTTTATAACTCAAACTTTCAAATAAACAAATAATTTTCTTTTCTAGAAAGACAGGCACCTTGCCATAGAAGATTAAGTCTCTGCCTGTGGCACCAGCATCCCATAAGGGCATCAGTTCAAGTTCTGGCTGCTCTATATTAGAATTGTTCCTCTCCCTCTATGGCAATGCCCAGCCATGGGGCTTGCTTCTCACAGACATGCAAACTCACAGTGCTATCCAGGAAGCTGGCATGGAAGGGAGCTGAGCAAGCAGTTCAGCAGTGCCAGACCCCTGGGCTGTGGCTCCCAGCTGGCATGGCAGGGCCTGTCTTGTTCCCAAACAGCCCCCTGCCTGCTCACTCCTCTGTCCTGCTGCCTGCTGGCTTCCCTAAGGTTAGAGGGGCTGCTGCATCCACCCTTTTGGCACGGCTGCCAGGCAGGCAGCCATGGCACACAGAGTGCCCAGCATGCCAGCTGCGAGTCCTGGCCAAGCCTCTCTCTCTGCCCAGAGCCAGGTCTTTGCTCTCTCTTTCTATCGCTGCTGGAAGGAGTGAGCAGGGGTAAATTGCTCCCAGTGAAGGAGAAAGGGAGGCTGTGGGTAGAGAGGTGCCCAGAGCTCCTGTGGGGCCTGAGTCAGGGTGCTTGTGTGGGCAACCTCAGTGCAGGGGGCCCCTGTACTCTAGCACGTGGGCCTTTGCTCATTAATTCAATGGAGCTATGTTAGCTGAGCACCTGCTATGTAATGGGACCCTATGTGGAGATTTGAAGGGACTGTACCTGCCCCCTACCAGATACCTACAGTATCCTGGGCAAGCAAAAAAACCTGTGACATTAGTAAGCTGAATGGAGCTGAAATGGCATGGAAGGGAAGCAGGGCCTGGGAGCTATGGGCACCAGGAGAGAAAGTGTGTCCTGGGGGCAAAGCAGGTATTGAGGACTGCACATCCCAAATTCCAAAGCATAAAAGTACCAGGAAGTTCAGGAACATAGAATCTGGGTTGCAGGTCGAAGGCCAAAGCTGGAGGGATGCTCTGCCAGTGTGGGCAGAGAGTCCGTCAACTGGGGTGAGGGCCTTTGGCATTACCAGGTCAGTGATCACCTCCTGGGCAGTTGTGTGGACGGAGACTGGAGAGGCAAAATGAGCTAGGGGCCTGAGCAGAAGACTGGGGTCAGCAGAGCAGGAACTGAGTCTGGGCTGTGGAGTGGATGTGATTGTAAAAACTGGACTAGGAGGCATTTTATTTCAAAGATTTGTTTGAAAGACAGAGTGCCAGAGATGAAAAGACAGAGGAGAGAGAGATCTTGCATTCACTCCCCCAAAAGATAGCAACAGGGACAAGCTGTCAGGAATTCCATCCAGGTCTCCCACTCGGGCACAGGGGCCCAAACACTCAGTGAATATTTCTGCTTCTTTTCCCAGATACTTTAGCAAGGAGCTGGATGTGAAGTGGAGCTCCCAGTAGCAAACTGAAAAGTAGTGTGTCTTGCTTGGTTCCCAAAAAGTTTTGTTTCTTTTTTTTTAAGACTTGGCTATTTGGGGGCTAATCCTCTGCCTACAAGTGCCAGCATCCCATATGGGCACCGGTTCATGTCCCAGCTGCTTCATTTCCTATCCAGCTCCCTATTTCTGGCCTGGGAAAGCAGTAGAGAATGATTCAAATACTTGGGACCCTGCTTCTACATGGGAGACCCAGAAAAATTTCCTTGGCTCTTTGGCTTTGGATCAGCTCAACTCTGGCCATTGTGGCATTTGGGGAGTGAACCAGTGGGAGGAAGAATGTTCTCTTTGCCTTTCCTTCTCTCTGTCAAATCTTCCAGGCAGCAGGAGCCCCAACACTTGAAATCATCTTCTGCAGTTTTTCTCAGTCCGTTAGCAGAAGGCTGGATCAGAAGTAGAGCAGCAAGGACATGAGCTAGTGTCCGTATGGGATGCCAGTATCAAAGGCCACCACTTTACCCACTGTGCCACAACACCAGCCTCCCCAGAGAGTTTTAAATATATATTTCTATTACTGAGTAAACAGTACACCCATCAATGAAACACCGTGTAGCCATAAAAAAGAATAATGAAACACTTTATGTGCTGTTGCAGAGTGATTTCCAAGATTTACTGTTAAGTGCGAAAAGCAAGGTGCAGGAAAACTAGCGTACTACTATTATGGGGGAAAAATGGGAAAAAAAAAAAAGAACCTTTTGTGGCACAGAAGGGTTAAGCTGGCATCTGCAATGCTGGCACTCCGTATGGGTACCGGTTCCAGTCCTGGCTGCTCCATTTCCCATCCAGCTCCTGCTAATGCACCTGGGACAGCAGCAGCAGATGGCCCAAGTGCTTTGGCCTCTGTCGCCCACACAGAACACCTGGATCAAGCTCCTGCCTGACTTCAGCCTGTTCCACCCTGACAATTGCAACCACTTGGGGAATGAACCAGAGGATGGGAAATCTCTCTCTGCCCTTCAAATAAATAAATTAGTTTAACAAACTTCGTTTCTTTCCAACTTCACATAAAAGTCTAGATTTCTTTTGGAGTGTTGGGCATCCTGGCCACATTGGATGGCCCTATGGACTGGCCTCCTAGACTTGCCCTGCTGTCCAAATCAGCCGCAATCCCCACCACTCTGAACTACCTGCCTCTGGAGGCAGAATGCCTTTCTATTTCTGGCTCCTGTAGGCATCTGCTCTGGGGAACCCAGCTATTAGCATTTCCTCTGACTCCCTCAACCCAGCCGACGCTGTCAGGGAGACAGCCTGAGGGGAAGCCCGCCTTGGACCAGCCCACCACAGCCCCCTTCCTCCTCCTCTTCTCACAGCTCCAGCGATTCAAGCGCTCGCTCTCTCTCAAGACCATCCTCCGAAGCAAGAGTGTGGAGAACTTCTTCCTCCGCTCAGGCTCGGAGCTCAAGTGCCCGACTGAGGTGCTGCTGACACCCCCGACCCCCTTGCCCCCTCCGTCCCCACCCTCCACATCTGCAGACCAGGGCCTGTCTAGGTCGGCCCCCTCCCCGTGCCCCGGGCTGCGGCCTCTGGCATCTCTCAAGGCAGTGAGGCTGCACAGCTTCCAGGAACACAGCTTTAAAAGAGCCAGCCCGTGCGAACTATGTCGTCAGCTCATCGTGGGTAGGTGCCCCGTGGTGGTGGGATCAATGCCACCTGGAAGGGAATTCAGGACTTCTTGTTTCTCTCCCCCTTCTGGGGTTGGGTGTGCGCCCCCTTGTGGCCCTGTGCCTTTTCATCCCCTTCCCCTTCCACCATCACTTCCCACCTGTACACAGAACATCAGTTGCAGGAGGTATAGGTTCTGGACCCCAAATGCTAGCGGGAGAAGGCCCAGCCCTTGCCCTTGCCATGCCCTATCTGCCTGTGGGCAGATGCAGATATCCGCTCTTGCCAACCCTTTGCTGAACTCCGATTCTCGCCAGGAAACTCCAAGCAGGGTTTACGATGCAAAACTTGCAAAGTCAGTGTGCACCTGTGGTGCTCTGAGGAGATCTCCCGCCAGCCATGCCCAGGCAAGACGGTGAGAGGGGGAGTGGGCGGCACCCACTGGCTTTGGGTGTAGGACGCCCCTGCTTCCTCCCATGGGCTGCTCCCGTAGGTTTGGGAATGTCCAAGTTCTGGATGAGCTGTGACCTTCCGGTGCCCCTTCTTGCCACAGTCTACTTCCTTCCGCCGCAACTTCAGCTCCCCCCTCCTGGTGCACCAGCCGCTTCCAGTCTGTGCCACAAGCAGAGAGTCTCCACCCACTGGTGAGCACCCCAATCCCAATTGACCCTGCTGCCACCGTGCATGATCGGAAACCCACACAGTCCCCAGATGGGCACCTGTGTCACCCAGTCCTCGTTACCCCTTTCTGTCCTTGGATGCTCCTGCAATTCATTTGTTCATTCGCTTGTTTCTACACTCTCCTGCCCTCCAGCCAGCACAGTACTAAGCAGCCACTCTGCCAGGCACTGTGCTGGCCATGGAGACACAGCTGAATTTCACAGCCACATAAGATGCCAAATGAGGATCAAGTGAATCGTCCACCAGTCGCCACTGGGATGAGAGCCTTAGAGGACAAAGACAGTGAACAGAGTCCCAAATACAGGCTGTCCTCAGCCCGGGACCAGGAGCTAGCCATGGAGGGACTGGAGGGGTAGTCATATGGGCAGAGGAAGGCCTGAGGCAGGAAATGGTAGGAGTTGAAGGAAGGATGAGGTGGCTGGTGCTTGGAGGGCAGGAGGGAGTCATAAGGCCTCGGCGTCCACTTTTGGGCTAAGGGAGATGGCGTTCCGGAGCTCCCTGCTGGCTGGGGGCAGGCAGGGCTGCCACAGCCCCTGGGGGCTCCAAGTGGGCACGCAGGACCTGAGAGCTCCAGGGCCTAAGCAGGGCTTGAGAGTGCACACTTGGCAGGGGCCAGCGGGAAGGTGGTGGACCCCGTCTATGAGACTCTGCGCTACGGCACCTCCCTGGCCCTGATGAATCGCTCCAGTTTCAGCAGCACCTCTGAGTCCCCCACAAGGAGTCTGGTATGGGGGACAGGGTTGGGTTGGGGGCTGTGCCCCAAAGAGGAGCCTTGGTGGACAGGAATGGCCAGCCTGAGGGCAGGATTTGAGCCATCTCACTTCTCTGTTGCTAGAGTGAGCGGGATGAGTTGGCTGAGGACGGAGAGGGCAGCATCCGCAGCTCAGAGGAGGGACCTGGCGACAGCAGTGAGCAGCGTGGGGGAACTGGGAATGGGAAAGGAGGAGGGAGTGTGGAGGATGTTGCCTCCTGATGCTTCACCTCTGCCTTGCTCTGGCCTCTGCAGTCTTCACAGCCCCAGCTGAGAGTGAAGGGTCAGGAGCGGAGGAGAGGAGTCCCGGACAGCAGGTGAGGAAGCAGGGATCAGCGCTGTTTACATGGACTGGAACAGAGTGGGCATCCCCTGCCAGGGTGGGTGTTGACATGCTCAGGGGTGTGGCTCACACGTCACTGACCCGGAGCTTGCCCACCAGGCCCCCAGACCCTCCGTGCGGAAGGATGTGGGGCCCATGTACTCCTACGTCGCACTCTACAAGTTTCTGCCCCAGGAAAGCAATGACCTGGCCCTGCAGTGAGTCCTCTGCACCCCTGATGGTGGTCTGTACACTGGGTGGGGGGGCTCTTGAGGCGCAGAGCCCAGGCAGGGGCTGCCAAGCGTGGGTGGAGGTTCCATGCTAATGCCTAATCTCCTTCCAACCCACACTGTGGCTGTCCTGGGGAGCAGCGCCTCTCACAGTGTCTCCAAGACTTGGGGGCGGGCACATACAGGGTGTCCAGGTGACAGGGGCTGTAGGGTCCCCCCGAGGACACAGGTTCCCCTATCCCATGTTGTCGGCAACGCCTATGTCGCTGCATACCCTGAACAGACAACACACAGTGGGTCATTCTTGTAAAGAGAATGCCATTTATTCCAAGTCAATCCACATCTTTTATAGTCTGCTTGGCTCCTCCCAGTATTTTCCCAATGCTCAAGGGTCACCTAAGCTCCTCCAGGGCATCTTAAAAAAGGGGAAGCAGGGAAGAGGGAACTTGCAGTCAAGCCAGGGGCTAAATGTATCAGGCCAAGATTGCCCATCCTGTTACACCTTGAGAAACAAGCTAAGCTGTGGAGTTAATCCTTGGGAGATCGGGGCCTACATCATGTGCCAGTCCAGCTTTCCTCCCCAGGCCCGGAGACCGGATCATGCTGGTAGATGACTCCAATGAGGACTGGTGGAAGGTGAGTTGGGGGGGTGGGGAATGGAGGAACCCTGGCAGATTCCACAGCTGCCCTCACCCTGCGTGGGCACAGCCCAGCTCCCTGCCAGACTGCAAAGACCTCCCACCCCCCACAGCAGGTCCTGGCAGAGCCCAGGATAACCCTTGGGCCTAGCTCTGGGCTCTGTCCCTCTTTGTCTCTATTTTGCCCCTCTACCCACTTCCTGCCCCATCCTGGCCCCAAAGCCACTGATCCAGAGCGCTGGAGAAGGGTGGTCTACACTCTGAGTGGGAAGTGGGTCTGGAGAGAGGGTGGGGAAGCAGCCAGCGGCACTAAAGGCCAAGATGTCACCCTTAGGGCAAGGTCGGCGATCGGGTTGGCTTCTTCCCAGCCAATTTTGTGCAGCGGGTGCGGCCGGGTGAGAACGTTTGGCGCTGCTGCCAGCCCTTCTCAGGGGGCAAGGAGCAGGGTTACATGAGTCTCAAGGAGAACCAGGTGAGGGCCTGGGCTCTGGAGTGGGGCAGGGGCGGGGACTGAGGCTGGCAGCCTGGCAGCAGGGTAGAGTGATGGGAAGGCGGGGCAGGCAGAGCCCGGGGCCAGCCAGCTGGTTGGGATTGGAGTGCTTCTCTGCCTGGAGAGCTCAGGCGTGAAATGGGGAAGGGGGTGGGGGAGGTATGGGAGCAAGGTCAGGCCTGAGTGCTGCCTGCTGGCCACTGCTGCTGTCCCCTATCCTTGCGAGATCTGCACCTGTTCCACCAGCTAGAGGCTCTTGCTACATCTGACCCTGTCCCCCCTTCCCCTCCCATCATCTGGGGCCAGTCTCCTGGGGGCTTGCAAACAGGGTCAAACTTGAGCTCTGTGTCCCTCCCCTTAGATCTGTGTGGGTGTGGGCAGGAGCAAGGATGCTGACGGCTTCATCCGCGTCAGCAGTGGCAAGAAGCGGGGCCTGGTGCCAGCCGACGCCTTGACCGAGATCTGAGATGAACTGAGAGAACCTGTGCTCATCCCCCTCCCATCTAGACCTGGCCCTGGCTGGGTAGGGGGGAGGCCTCCTCCCCTGCACTCACTCTCCTCTGTCCCCTCGCAGGTGCCACACACCATGGCTTAGGGGCCGTCCACATTTGAGGAAGGGGTTGTCTTGGGTGGGGTGTCTACCCTAAGAGGGATTTGAGGTGGGAGAGAAAGTGGGGAACAATGAGACAGCTGCAGGAAGGAGGGGCCCTGGTACTCACGTGGCCCAGTTTCCTGTACCACATTGGACTCCAGCCCTGGGGAGGGTTCCTGGAAAACTTCCTGCTGCCCTTTCCAGAAAGCCCCCAATGCTGCCCACACCACCTCTGCATGCCCAACACCCCCCTCTGACCACAGAGCCTCTGCATACACGTCTGCCCCTTTGCCAGTGCGGGCCTGGGAGAAGGGCCTGCCTGTGTCTCTCTGCTCTCCTCCCCCTAATGTTTGGGGAGGGGGCTGGGTGGGGATCCAGGGCCAGGGGAATGTCCTGAGTCCAAATCATGCCGCACCCTGCCTGTACCCCACCTCCTGTCCACCTCCTGTGGCTCCATCAATTCTCAGGAAAGTTCTGCAGGAATCTCTCCCATTTTTTGAACCTTGGGCTGATTGAGGAGAGGGCTGAGGTCTGGGGAGGGGTGTGGCGGATCTGAGACTGCCCCCTCAAGTCACTTTCCCTGTGCGCTGGCAAAAGACACCCACGAGCAGTCCAGACACAGAAGCCCACCTGAGAAGGAGGCAGTGCCAGCCCTCTGGCCCCTGGCACTCCCAGAGCCCCCAGCAGTCAGGATTGGCAGGCTCAGGGTCCCCTGTCTCACCCCCTCTGGACTCTGCACGGGCAGGGCTGCTGTTCCCACAATCCTTGTTCTGGTTGTATCACCTGCCCCAGCACCACCCTGGCAGGGACACGGAGCCCTCAGGGAAGAGAGGGCGGGAGACAGACAAGCAAGGTAGGATGCTCTGGTCACCAAGAAAGTGGGGCCCCTCTGGGGTGGGGTGTTCACCCAGAGTGAGGACTCTACCCTCACAGGCTGCTTTTTCTCTGGTGCCAAAGCCCCTCACTCCCAGCTCAGAGCCTCTTCTGTGCCCTTGGTCGTGCCAGCGAATGCCACCCCCATCCTGGGCACAATCACATGCTCCCATGCGGTGGGAGAGGGGCGGGGGGATTGGGGCACAGATCTTCCTTCCCAACAGCCCCTTCCCCACTCCTCCCCTGCAGAGGGGACTCAAGCCACACTGCCCTGTTTGCTGCCATAGGCCCTCCTCAGCACTATCCCAGGGGCGGGCCGATGCCCACTGTACATGACGCTGCATGACGGGTCTCCTGGGGCATTGCCTGGCTCCCAGACCCCTAATGAAACGTTTCTTGTCCCAGCCTGTCTGCTCTGTGTGTTTGATTGGGGTGGACAAGGCAGGGAGTGCAGGGGATGGGGTTAGGAGGGTGGGCATGGTGCGTGACATTGAGCTGGCGGGGAGAATGCTGGTCTCTGAGTGGGGAGGGCTGGCGCAGGTGCTCACGTGACAGGGCAGGGGGACTTCTCCCAGTGACAGGGCGAATTCTCCCACCCAGGCCGCCTGAGACGGCGGCGGACCCGCGGACAACCGGACAACCGAGGTGGGAACACCTGCTGCAGGGGAGGGAGGAAGGCAGAAGCGCGGCCGCAGTCGGGACAGCAGTGCACCTGTGCCCGCCGGGTCTGAGGTGCCCTCTGCGACCCGCTGTGCCTGAGATCCCAGAGGGTTCAGTACCCAGCCAGGGTCAACAAAGCTCGGGTCGCCAAGACGGACACGTTGGCGGCGGGGACAGTAGCGGACGCTGGAGCCCTCCTGTGATGACTCAGCGTCATCCGTCGCCAGGAGCTGGGCACGAGAGGCCGGCGGCGTGCTCCCCTCCCTTGGCGACGCCCGCCGCCCACCCGCTCCAGCAGAGCTGCTGCCTTCCCAGCCACCCAGCCGCGTCATCGTCAACGAACACGTCCCGGCTATTTATAGGCTGCGGGAGCGGGCGGGAGCCCGGAGCTCAGGCTGCGGGGGTGCCAGGGCGCTGCGGGGAAGCAGGTGCGTCCACTCACCCTGCTCCTCCTGACAGGGACCCTCGCCCCCCACCGCTAAGCAAGGGCGGCCAGATAGGACCAGATCTTGGGGTCAGGTCACCCAAGGAGAACCGTGGGAGGAGCAGGTGGAGGAAGGGAGTCCTCCTTCTTGGGGTACTCAGTAGCTGAAGAAGGGGTCACCCCTGAAGCACAAGTTTATAAGGAAAGACCAGGCATGCCTGCTGCACCCTGCCCAGTGATCCGGCCAAGCCTTAGTTAATCCTCAGTGAGCGGAGGGACTCTCTGTTACAGACACTGAGACAGTGCTCCTAACACTGTCTTTTCCAAGGTCATCCCGAATTATCCTGCCCCCTCCATTTTTAAATTATCTTTTTATTTTTAAAAGTTTATTTATTTAGAAAATCACAATTAGAGATCTTCCAACCACTGGTTCAACCCCAGGTGGCTGCCACAGCCAGGGCTGAACCAGGCTGAAGCCAGGAGCCAGGAGCTTTACCTGGATCTCCTGCATGGGGAGCAGTAACTCAAGCACTTGGGCCATCCTCCATAAGCATAAAGCAGGATCAGAAGTTGAGCATCTGGGACTCGAACTCGTGCCCATATGGAATGCTGGCAATGCAGGTGGTGACTGCCACAGTGTCAGCCCCTTAGGTATCTTTTGCAATTCTGTTTTTCCATGAACGTTTTTTCAGAAGTGTCCCCACAAGTACCTTACAAAGTTTAATTGTATTTATTTGAAAGGCAAAAAGTTCATTTCCCAAAAGCTAGCAACAGCTGGGGCTGAGGCAGGCTAAAGTCAGAAAGCCTAGGTAGGTCTCCCACGTGGGTGGCAGAGCCCTCTGCCGCCTCCCAGGGTGCACATGAACACAAGGTCAGGATGAAGTAGAACTTGAACCTAGGCATCAGGCACTCAGAAGACAAACTGCTGATGTCCCAAGCAGCAGTTTAGCCCACTGTGCCATCCTGCCCCATAACCTTGCTCTTTTTCATATGGGGAAGCTGAGACCACATCGGGTTTCCTCTCCTTTCAGCTCTTCCCCTCCCTTGCCCTGGGTCCCGCCATGCCTCAGCAGGGATGCAGGGATGCAGGAATCCCGTCTCTACCTTATCAGATACTGAGCCTTGCAGCCAAGCCTCCTGCACACCCACTCGCGTCTGCCACCAGCCAGCAGCTGGCCTGGACCTCCTCCCCCGGCCCCTTTGCCGCACTGTTGCACATACAGCTTTTATTCCCCCCTCTGGTGGCTCAGCTGCTAACAGCACACTCGCAGCCTAGAGGCTGGTAGCAGCTGGCATTTCTACTTTGGCCTCTGCCCTCCTGGATGCCCACTCTGGGTCTGTTCCAGCGACACCACCAGCTAGGGCAGAGGCTGTGCTGGAAGCTGCCACTAGCCGTGCGCCCCACCATTTGGCTCTGTTGTTCTGACCTACATTTGCCCTTTCTCCTTCCCCCACCTCAGCCTGAGCTCCACTGGCCTGAGCTCCACTGGTCGGTGCCTTGTGGGACGCAGTTTAGTTGCCTGTGGTCTTGGAAGAAGAGGGGAGGGCCTTGGAGAAGCAAGGCCAAAGGGTCACAGGCTGTGAGTGCCCTCTGTTCAACCCCACTCCCTGGCTAGTGCCACCCCAAGGGCCCTTCTTCCTCATCCCTGACTACCCAGGACAGGCTAGACCTGCTGTGGAGCACATGGTGGGCACTTGTGCTTCCAGCCCCAGCCCTCACTCACCATGCTGCCCAGGAGCCCAAGACAACACCTGCTGGAAGCTGGCCGCTCTACTGGCTGCTGGACCCAGAGTGCCCCCTCAGAACCATCTCCCCATCCCCTGGGACCACAGACAGGGTGTGGGGAGTGTTCAGACTAGGCTGAGACTGGGAAATCACCAGCCCCTGGGACCTCAGGTTCCCACTCTCAAACGCCCCGAGCAGGGCTTGCTCAGGGAGCTCCTGACAGAGGGTGGAGAATTACATGCTGGGGCACAGTGTAGGCTCTTGGGAGACAGGATGCCATCTTTCAGTATTGCACAAAGCTCCAGGATCTGGGGGAAATCCAGTGGCAACCTGGGAAGGGTGGAAGGCCCAAGATGGAGAGGTAGCCTCCAGGTCTGCGGTGAGGTTCAGGAAGCAACCACTCACAGCTTCCCCAGAGGTAGCTCTCACTCTATAATCCATCCCTCCGCTTACATACTCCCTAAAATAAAAACTAACCAACAACAAGCCAACCAATCAAGTCGCCACAACCCAGGGAAGCCAGTCCCCATTTGCAGCCACTTTTGAGAAAAGCGCCACCTCCTGGTCCAGGGTGGGAACCAGCTCCACCGTGCTGTGGCCTGGGAGCATTTCCTTCCATCCCTGTTCCTCTGCTTCACCAGAACTGAAGCAGGGTGGTCTCCAGGACACTGCCTCCCTTGCCCAGGCCAGGCAAAGACGCCTCCCATGCACAAAGCAGCCAGCCTGGCCGTGGTCCTTTCCCTTTCCAGCCTCAGTTCCCCACGGTGAAAGCTCACCGAGGCCGCTCACTCCAGGAGCCCCACTCACCCAAGCTCTGATATACATGGGTATGGGTCCGAGTGTGGGCTCCCCTGCCTTCTGCCACCCACCTCCCACCCTGTCCAGAATTGGATAAGGACTGATTTACCTACTGCCACTAGGTCACCATGCAGGGCCCTCTCCATCACTTTCAAATAAAAATCTTTTAAAGATTTAGATTTGAAACAGCAATTTAGGAGACAAACGATTGGCACAGCACAGTAGCCTAGTGGCCAAGGTCCTTGCCTTGTCCTCACCATATGCATATGGGCCCTGCTTGTGACCTGGGAAAGCAGTCAAGGACAGCCCAAAGCCTTAGGACTCTGCACCTACATGGGATATCCAGAAGAGGTTCTGGGTTCCTGGGTTGGATTGGCACAGCTCGTCATTGCG